ATCCTCAGCACCACATACAAATAAACATATAAAATAAAGCTATTCTGTCCATCTACAACTATAAAAAAATTAAAAAAAAAGAAATTTATCAGCACACTGGGGAGCTATTGTTCTGCTGAACACACTTTGGGTAGTGCTGGTCTATTTAATGAGGTAATAATGACATTTTTATGGCCTCTTTGCTATTCTGAGTCTTGTTCAGTAGTTACATTTTTATAAAAATTTTGTTTTATAATTTTTACAAAAAGGGCTCACGTATCCCAAGGATCAGAGTTAGTTACTCTGTGTTTGGTTAGCACTTTCTACCTTGGAGAACCTGGGAGGATTTCTATACGTTACTCCTCATCTTATGGCTCATTTGCTCCTGAGTTCCAGAGATCTGTTAGGCGGTGTACTCTGCTCTGAAACTATTTGAATTGTGGCCTGGCTCTATCACAGCTGACGTTAGTCCATCCCTTTCTGTGCTTCTTGAATGCCTACTACTCAGACTCACTCTGGCACAGACAGATGGACAGACACTACCAGGGTGTCATGAGTAGGCTCAGCTGTGGATCACATATGCCAAATATAAAACCACAGTGTTCTGTCTAGTCAAAACTGGGGCTCCAGTGTTATTGAGTCATTATTCCATTCTTTATTGTCTGACCACTTGTGATCAGATGAGGATTTGTTTCCTGAGCCCTTATGGCTAAGATGGAAGAGTGTGGGATGACGGTGTGGTTAAGTGGATTTGTAACTGATGCTGTGGCCTTACCCAGGGTGAGTTGCTTAATGGATCCATGTCAGCAGTGGGGTGGACTCCAGTGGTTTGCCACAGGGCCCTGTCCAGCCTCAGCCTCATCTTGGTTAACTTTTTTTAAAAAAATAATTAAGACACGAAGGCCCACGTATCATATTTTGCAGGGGATTTATATATGGGAGAATTAGCTAGTACAGTGGATAACAGTTAGGATTCAGAGATGATCTGAGGGGGCTAAAATGTTGAGGTGGCACTTAAAACAGATAAGAAATTTAGAAAGTTAAGAATTTGGGTGTAGCCAGATGCAGTGGTGCATACCTATAATCCCAGTGGCTTGGAAGGCTGAGGCAGGAGGATTGCAAGTTCAAAGCCAGCCTCAGCAACTTAGTGTGGCCCTTATTTTGAGACCCTGTCTCAAAATAAAAAACAAAAAGGGCTGGGAATGTAGCTCAGTGGGTAAGGTATCTGACAGGCATTTGTGATGCTTGAGTTATCACTGAAAAAAACAAAACCAAAAAACCTTAATGTCTGATGAGATCATATTGTTTGTGGCACTTGACAACCCATATATGGGGGATTGTTTGGTTCTGAGTACCTTATTTGATGAGGAACTCTATAAATGCACAGCTATTAGGGTTCATTCAGATAGTGATGTGTATGGAAATCAGTCATAGATAGTTGAAGGAAATGGATAATATTTAGACCAGTGAAGAAATGGCTGAGGGACGTGTGATAACTGTCTTCAGCTACGTGAGGGACTGTCGGAAGATTAAATAGCTTTCTTCATCCAAATAGCAAAATCAGGGCCATGGGTAGAAGTCGTTTTCATCACAATGGAGGAAGCACATTCTAATAGTTAGATGGCCTTGTGAGAGACCCAAGTGATTTGGGAGGTCAGCTCTTCACTGGCAGCATTCCAGGACTGCCTGGACCTCTGCTGTTCAGAGAAGCTGTGAGAAGCCTTCTTACTGTGGGGAGAGGTGCCCAGTTGATTGCCAGCACCCTCGTAATTCTTCATTTCTAAACCCTTGAAGGTGGGTGAGGCTTGAGCCTGTGTGACACCTTCAGCATTACAGTGTGACACTTCAGGAAAATGACAGAAGCTGTGCCATTTATTTGTGCCACTTTTGAAGCTGTGGATTTCATGTGAAGTGCACAGCCTGTGCCTATAAGAAAGTGACTTACATGATGTGACTATTTATCACATGTGGAGCTTGTATGCACACGTGTACGGCAGATACGTAATTAGGGAAACCAGAACTTAATGTGCCATCAGAGTGTTAAATTATTCAGTGTTCCTTTTGGTTGAATAAGGTATAATAATGGTTATTTTTTATATAGCTTGCTTGAGATGGAAAGTCAAAAAATTTTTAGACTGAGATAGACTGCATTCTTAATTTCTGACTTTTACTTTGTAAGCTTTAGCTTCTTCCTATATGTCCTTTTTTATTCCTTTATTCTCTCATTATGGTCTTCTGTTGTGTTAAATAGATATTTTCTATTATGCACTTTAATCCCCTTGTTTCTTTCACTGGATTGTTTTTGAGTGAACATCTTAAAACAATCTAGTTTGGATTAATACCTACTTAATTCTAATAGACACCAAGAACTGCTCCATTATCATTGTATTTTGCATACATTGAAATACTTGGAACCTGGTGTCCCATAGGTCTCTGAGGGCTCTGTGCATTTTCTTCTTCATTTTTTTATAATTCTTTCTTGGATTGGATAATCCAAAAATTTGCTGATTTTTTTTCTACCAGTTCATATTTGTTATTGAGTCTCTCTAGTGTTTTTTTTGTTGTTGTTGTTGTTTCAATTGCTGTGTTTTTCAACACTAGAACTTCTACTTGTTTTTTTTTTTGTTGTTGTTGTTTTAAATAATTTTTGTCTGTTTATCAATATTCTCTGTAGGGTAAAACATTTTTCTTATACTTTCCTTTATTTCTTTAGACATGCTTTCCTTTAGTATTTTGAACATGTTTATAATAGCTGATTTAAAGTCTCTGTTTGATAAATTCATTGTCTATACCTCCTCAGGGACACTTTCTACTGACTGCTTTTTATCCTGTGCATACGTCCTACTTTCCTGTTTCTTTGAATGTCTTGCACTTTTTTGTTGTTATTGTTGTTAAAAACTGGACATTTAAAATAATGTTGCAACTCTGGTAATCAGATTTTCCTACCTCTGAAGAATTTGTTGTTATTACCATTTATTGTTTTTGGTTGCTGCTGTTAAGTGACTTCCCTAGTCTCTGTTCTTTATCCTCTATGGCCACTGAAGTCTCTGCTTGGTGATTGGACAGAGATTTTCTTAAATGTGCTCAGGTGTTCTTTGTATGTTGGAACACCCCCTCACTATCCCAACAGTTTACCACTCTGCCTTAGCCTTCACTTCCTGCCTGTGCAGGGCAAGTCCGCCAGAATTGAGAGATCAGGGCCCCATCTGTTTTTTTTTCTGGGCACATGCACAGTACTGCACATGAACCTACATTCCAGACTCCCAGGAATAAATATATGAGAACCTTTCAAAGACAAACCCTGAGAACACCTCATCCCCCAGTTTTTCCTGTCTTTATAAATTTAAGCTTTCTTGGTCAGCTTCTTCTTAGCTCTACTGGCAGTGCCTCCTCTGGCATCTGTAGAGCTAAACTTACTTAACACTTATTGCTTTAAACAAATGCCCTGGAGATGGGATAGAGGTCAGAAAAAGACTAGTTTCAAGAACAGTTTTCCAGCCAGGTGCCAGACAAGGCAAATCCTTTGGGGATTGGAGTTTAGGGAGATCTAAACCTGTTTGGCGCCTCTGGTGGCTGCTGGGCTGCTGGTTTTTACAGTATCATAGTTGTGAGACTGCTGTTTCAAGGCCGCCTTGCGTCACTTCTGCTGCTTAAGTACAAGTTGAAAGTCGCAGATCTTACTGATATGCAGCCATTTTTCATAATTACATGCACCTTAGAGTGTATCAAGCCTTTCATTAAATCCAGAGTCCTGAAAAAGTCAGTTGTGACTGTTTGGGGCAGCATTCTGTGTGGTGTTATGGAGGAGCAGATTTTCAGAGATGCAAAAGTTAGCTTCCTATTTGTGCTTCATCCACCAAGGCCCCCTTGAGCAACAAGACTCTGCCTTGTACATGATGCACATTCTTTCTCACTCTCTGATGCTTCTCTCTTCTCAGCTGTCTCTGGTTCATGAATTAGCCCCAAGGAGTGCTAAAGAGCACAGGGTCCTACAAACTGCTGGTTACCAATCACTTTATTAGGAATGAGTTTCAACCTGCTTGATCCTGCATTACTAGCATGTACCATAAACTGGATCCTATTGATCTTCTGAATCACTCTCTCCTCTTGCCAGCAGAGTCCATTTTTTGCAATCTGGCCAGCTTTGTACATTATCCTGTGATGAAGTAAATCCATTATTCCCCTAAATTATAGTTGGAAAACAAAACATAGCTAAAACAGCTTTTTCCGCTGGATACTGTTGGGATTGAGATTCAGGCCAAACATAACATCAATTGCTCTCTACCAGATCTTGCAGGCCTGGTTAACAGCTTTGAGTTTTGTGTTAAATATATATATTTACATATATAATACATATATTTTAAAATTCTAGTTGTAGATAGCCACAATGCCTTTATTTTATTTATTTATTTTTATGTGGTGCTGAGGATTGAACCCAGTGCCTCACACAGGCTAAGCAAGTGCTCTGTCACTGAGCCACAACCCCAACCATATTTTTAAAATCTATATATTTAAAATCTAAGTTCTCATTTGTAACATAATTTTGGAGTTTTATATGACCAGATATTTGACTTATGGGTGTTTATTTTATTATAGCCTCTCATTTCAGAGGCCAGTCTTCCATTATATAAGATGGAAATACAAGTGCTGTTGGTAAAAAGTAGAAATTCTGTTCTGAAGAGCTGTGTATGATTATGTAGCTAATTACCGTGGTAAAGTTCATAATTTTTTTTTTTGCATTTTATGTACTTGTGTATTTTTTCTGTCTCATTTGTTAGATAATAATTTAATCAAGCAGGCTAAAATGTGAGATTACATGGTGGTACAACAATTTTGAAATCTTGAAAGATAAAACTGGAAACATTTGCTTGTATTTTTTTCCACCTCGGAGTGTTTTGTTAATGAGACATTTTATACTGCCATAAACCCAGGGCAGTAATAGAGGTGTTGATTGATTTTTGGATGGTGAGGGGCCCTTCTAATTGCAGATTTTGACATTTGTGTCACTTCTGCTGCTTTAGGTGAGCAAGACGTGGAAGGTGATTGCTGAAGATGAGGTGCTGTGGTACAGGCTGTGCCAGCAGGAAGGGCACCTTCCGGAGAGCAGCATCTCAGATTATTCGTGCTGGAAGCTCATCTTCCAAGAGTGCCGAGCCAAGGAACACATGTTAAGAACCAACTGGAAGGTAGGCAGTGGCCAATAACTTTACCTGTGGAAAAATAGCTTGCAAAGACATGGGAGTCCAAACCTTTAGTTGCAGCCTGAGGTTAATTGCCAGAAGTAGAGGCAGAGGGGTGTGCTGATCGCTATTGATGACCTGTTTTGTCCCTCCTTGGAAGATCTGCCTCTGTTTTCAGTGACAAAGTTTGAGAGCATCCCCCTATTATCCAGGGAAGGACAGCTGAGGTTGGGCTGCCTGTCACTTCCCTCTGCTGGTTAGGATTGTTGGAGTCATATTTGATATAGCTCTCTCTCACTTTTGACACCTTCTTGGAGAGTCCAAGAAGGCAGAAGCACCACCTGCACACAAAAGAGGAGCTACAAATGCCATTTTAGTAACTGTAAGAGGGAGATCATTTCACATCCTTAAGAGCTGTCTTCTCTTCCCTCATGTAACCCACTGGCTTGCTGCCCTTGCATTTATCACTTAAAAGTCTCTACAGAAATATTAGATCACAGCTAAGAATTTGCACAGAGAAGTGTTTCCATGGATAACTGTCGAGAAGCGTGCTACATAGAGCTGTGAGAGGCATGACAAGACAGTGGTGTGCAGCAGCATTTCTTTCCTGCCCAGGAAACTGGATATTCATGAGTAGAGAAGAGATAGAACCACATTCTTCTCTCCCATAAAGTCAATCCTAATAGACTTTAACATGAATGACTTTTGCTCATTACTGATGGTGACATATTGCCTATGTGTATGTCTCTCCCTAGTCACCTCATAACCTGATTAGTGACTGATATGCTTGATGAGGGCAACCTCATGCAGTTCTAGCAACATTAGCCAGAGCAGTGTCTCTCTAATTCAGGGTTGCTCAGCCCCGGCACTAGGGACATTGGGCCAGCCTCTTTTTGTAGGGAGCTGCCTTATGCATTGCAGGATGTCAGGCAGCATCCCTGGCCTTTACTTACTAAATACCAATAGTATTCTCATCCTCCCCCAAAGTTGTGATAACTCAGAATGTCTCCAGATATTGCAGATGTCACATGGGGGCAGAATTGCTCCTTGTTAGACCTGCCATTCTAAGGAGAATTAGTACAGGTATTTTTTCTTAGGACATTAAGACACCACCCCTAAGAAAGTCATGCTCTCCCCACAGTGTTTGTTTGCATTCACCAAAGGTAGTAAACTCATTTGGAGGGGTCTGTTAGCTCTCTTGCCTGTGAGCTTGGTTAGGTCTTATGATGGACAGACATAGATGAGAGGCAGGCAGGAAGGTTTGACAAACAAAGCCATTCAGACAATCAGGGGCAAGGAACAGAGAGTCTGATCCCAGTAGAAGAGGCTGCTGTTCAGGGGAAGCTCCAGAGGGGGGTTAACGTGGGCCTCTCTGTTCAGAAAGGAGGGATCCTTTGAGATTTATGAATGTGAGAGCTGGAGATATTCAGTGTCCCTTAGATTGAATTCAGAGATTTCAGATCCTGAGGGAGAAAATGGCAGCTAAGATTTTTGCTTCCTCTTTGATGGCAGAGAAGACAAGGCAGGCAGGCAGTACCACCACCTCATTTGGGCTGGGGATGACAGCAGTGAAGCATTTGGCACCAAATTACAGTTTTCAGGTTACAAACAATTTAACTAAATGCCTATTTATTGTTTTTCTCTAACAAGCACAAAACCATATGCGCTCAAGGAATGTTTGTCCACTGAGTGAACTGGGTATTGCTACAGGCAAAAGTGAGGGAGACTTCTCTTTGGAGTGTCTCTGGCCCATTTCCTGACACTGGTAATAATGGGGACTATATGGGTAAATTTTTTTTAAAAGCTATTGATAGTCCTTTATTTATTTATTGACATGTGGTGCTGAGAATCGAATCCAGTGCCTCACACATGCCAGGCAAGTGCACTACTGCTGAGCCCCAGCCCCAGCCCAATATGGATGAAATTTTAAATGATGATTCTTTCATTAAGTATAATGATGGGATTTTACTGTAATTTTAGAATGAAGGGGTGCTTCATCAGAACATGAAAGGTCGCATTAGGGTACACGGCTTAGCTCTGGCCTGCCTCTGTTTTCTTATATCTAGAAGGGGCTTACACCTAACACTGCTCCCCACAGTGAGGCAAGGACATCCATGTCCTAAGTCTAATGCTCCTTCTGCTGAGGAGGCCATGCTCGGTGCTCAGGCAAGGCTGTTCTCAAGGCTCTTAAGCCTTTGTACACAGATACACTGTTCCCATCCTATTTATGGTAGATTTTAGAATGGGTTGGGCAGGTGATTTGGTTTGATACCTTCTTGGTCAATGCCTGGGGAAAGCTCAGAAGGAATCCCAGAGTTCTCAGGTCACTCTGTGTAGGGGTGACCTGTGAATGCATGCACTTATCTGCACCTGCAGTTCACCCTGGAAGTGATTTGATGAAGTGGGTGTGGGGGCCACAGTGTTGCTCTTCCTGGGGTGTGCATAGTGTTTTCTTTCACCCTGGCATTCTGGGACCTCTATGACTAAAATATCAGTGAGGGATCAGAGCCCAAGAAGGAGAGGGAAGCCCCCGGACAGAATGAGTCAGTGCCAACAGCAGGCAGCTTTTCTTCTCAGGCTCTCTTCTTTCAATACCTTTTTTGTCAAAAGAGCTCTTCTCTCTGCTTTGTAGCCATATCCTTCCCTTCCCTCATCATGACTCCGCAAGTCGGAGAGCTCCTATTGGATGGGTGCAGTTTTATCCCTCAACTGTAGACTTGATCCTCAGATGAAGTAATGACCACCATTGCAGATTCTCTTGCCCAGTTTCTGGAGTATAACTGCTTAATAAACATGGATTTAATGGGATGAATGTCATCATCTCTTCCCTAATATAAGCAATAATATTAATGTCTACCTTTATTGTATGATAAGAACTGTGTGTGACACTTGGGAACACTATTTCTAATCCTGGGCCAAAGCAGCAGAACTAAAATTATGATCATTTGGTACTTTTAAATTCCTATATTCATGCTTGCTTTTTGGCTTAACTGTCTACTCTTTCACATTTCCCACCTGTAAAGACTTTATATCTCTTCAGATTCCCTTGATTTTTATTTTGAAAGTAATTTTTTTTAAAGAGAGAGAGAGAGAGAGAGAGAGAATTTTTTTAATATTTATTTTTTAGTTTTCGGTAGACACAACATCTTTGTATGTGGTGCTGAGGATCGAACCCGGGCCGCGCGCATGCCAGGCAAGCGTGCATGCCAGGTGAGCGCGCTACCGCTTGAGCCAATCCCCAGCCCCTGAAAGTAATCGTTTAATATGTTTTTTTCAATCAATAATGAATGATCTTGGAAAAAGAATTCAAAAGTCAGAGTAGCACACATAGTGGAAAATAACACTCCCTCACCTCTCTTTCCACAGACTCGGTTTAGGTTAAGTTTAGGTTTTAGGTTTTCCATGGAACTTCTGAGCTCAATCAGAAATGTCATCTTTTCTTCTCTCTTTCTATCTCCTGGTCTTTATCTCTTGTGATATGTAGTGTTTTCATTTTATTGAGAGTCCTTGTAAGAGTTAATAGGTACTTTCTCTTTGCTGAACTGAATTTTTAAACATACTTTATATGCTTCTTCAGATACTTGTGATTACCAGCAAATGTGGTCAGCTTACTGTGGATTGTGGCTATTTATGTGCACATACTTCCTTTATATTCAGTGATCTCCTTGAGGACAGGTCCAGCATCTCACATGACCTTGCCCTCTGGTTCAGTGTCTTTGATGTATGTGGTAACTCGAACGTGATGTTAGTTGCCATCTTTGTCCTTTTGAATGCCCAGGTAACTTGAATAAAATTCATGCCATAGAAAAATCTCTGTGGAAGGAGGGTGAAGGTGAAGTGCTTTGTCTCCTGGCTGCCCTAAGAATAGTATAAACTGCATCTTTTTCTCACACAGAATCGCAAAGGTGCCGTGAGTGAGCTGGAACACATTCCTGATGCGGTTTTATGTGATGTGCACTCTCACGATGGTGTTGTCATTGCTGGGTAAGCCAAGCAATTTTCACTTACTGCTCTTCTTCTTACAGCCTTTCATTTTTCAAGAACTGCCCTCTGAGCACAATGACCTTATCTTCCTGTGAGAGCATGTACCTTCCCCAGTGACAGCTGTGCGTAGGGAGGAGAATCTCTGACTCTCTTCTTTAGGATTTGAGAGCTCAGTAGTAAGTAGAGAGAAGCAAATAGTGTGGAGCAGATTTGTGATTCATTTGTCTTAATATGTCTTTCCTGGCTTTTAAATCACTCTCGTGGCATGTTATGTTAGATTTTCATTAAGGCAAGCAGTTTGTGTTTTATGAAGACATAAAAAAGTCAAGCAAGAATAATAAGTGTTGGCACAATCAAGTCCTGTTCTTATTCTCTTGTTCTGAAGCATTTATTATGAGGAAGGGCTGCGGCCACACATAATCTTCCTTGCCCACCACATAGTATGTATTTGCTATTTAACTTGTCTGGAACTAGGTTTTTTATGTGTCTCCATGGCCGAGAAATTTAATTTTAGCTTCTGTAAATTCCTTTGGCTTCTGTTCCAAAAACCACTTTCATGAATTCTTCATGTTTTACTACAGAGGTGCATTTATGTATTTCTTTAATGAACTATAAGAAGATCAATTTTCTTTGTGGATTAGGAAGGTGTCTTGAACTACAGTCTGCAGTTGTAAACTTTTGATTGTATGCTTTTACCATCTCAAATTGTATGCCCAAATGTGAAGACCCAAACCCTTAAACTTCTGAGTCTCCATGGGCTTTGGCTGAGCTGCCTCAGTGAAGGTCCTACCTACAGGAAACCAAAAACCAAAACCAACCTTGGCTTAGACTTTTTCTTAAAAAAACTTTCCTTAAATAGCATTCCTTGAAGAGCACTATTTGAATTGAAATTCCAAATAGATTATTTAAATATTTTATGATATGCCATGTCCCTGAAAAATTATTTGTTTTAAACAAGCTATACCCAGGAGGGACAGTTCTTTTTGGCTTCTGTTTCACTGGCTACAATTTAGAGGTTAATGTCCTTCTTGGGAGAACTGTAGCACTGTTATTTTTAGAAAGATTAATGGGTCAAAAATCTGGAATTCCTTCCATCCAGTTATCAGTAGGTCATCAGGCTTCTGCCCCTCATGGCTGAAATGTGGACCTCAGAGCTCACGTTGTGCATGGTGCTTCCATCCCCCAAGTCCGAGAGTCAATGGTTACTGCATAATATATTTGTATCCTTCTGACTTAAAGAGTCTCTCTCTGCCTGTGTAAAAAGATGCTTGAGGACAGAATGCTGAGATTGGACTGAACAGTCCTAAAAAGAGATTAGAAATAGAGGAGAGACTTTCATCCCGAAAGCCAGTTATACAACTTTGTTATCTGGTCATGGTCTCTGAGGCCAGGTGCCAGTCCTCCTTTCCCTGCCTCCCTGCCTCCCAGCTCCCTGGAGGTCTGTTCAACGCTGCAGATTAGGCAGCATAAAGCCCAGCAATGGCAGAGTTTTGTGGATCGATAAGATGAAACTTGAGCTGTGGGTCAGAGAGGCTCCTCACAGCTCCTCTTTCTAAGAACCTTGTGTTGATGGCTTAGCATGGGATCCTTCAATCTTGCTTGTATGTAGAGCATCTCGTGTTTATCATTAAAATTTTATCTGGTGGTTACGATGCTTGTTTTCTGGGTCAGCTCTCGAATCCCTTTTCATTTGAGACGATGGTGTTTGTGGTTACCTCATTCCCAATCAATGTTGTATTCACCAGGCCTTCTGCAGTTATGCATCTCCAAGGAGCTTCTTAAAGAGACATGCCACCTCACCTTGCTTTCTCTTGTACTTACCTATGTTCTTTTCATTTCCCTTCTGCCTTTCCTTTTTCTCTTTTTTACCTAAGTGGAACCTGTTCAGAAGTTTTGTTTTATGTAACTATAAACCATTTTTGCATTTAAACCTATTAAATATATCTCACAAAATTGGTGGAGAGCAAAGATTTGCAATATTTCTTGCTCTTTCCATCTTTTCAGTTCTCTGTGTAAATGTCCTAGGGTTGAAGTCAAGTTGCACAGGACTAGGCTAACTTTTCTTGCAGTTGGACTCACAGTTGACCCAGTCAGTGGAACCTTAGTCATTCACTCATGAACTCACTGACAGATGGTGGAGCACCTGTCATGTGGCTGTGCCCCCCCACCTGTGCTTGCTTTTTCAGCCATGTGCAGACATTGTTTCTTAAGCTTTTGATCCTGCAGTTTTTTGTCCAAGAGTCTTTGCTTCCCTATCTTAAGAATAATCTGTGGTTATCTTTTCCTGATGTGCAGAGTTCATTGACATTTGTTTCCCGTCTACCTTTTTCCTCATTACTCCCCTCAAGTACACTTTGGGTTTTTTCATGCTGTTCTAGTTAGTCATCTTTGATCACATCTTTGTTTTTAAACTGAGAGGTAATTCACATACTGTAAGATTCACCTTTTCAAAGTGGAAAATTGGGTGATTTTTGGTAAACTCCCAAGATCGTGCGGCTTCCGCCACTGTTTTAATTCCAGAACATTTCACCACACTGAGCAGAAACCCAGTCCCTGTCGTTTAAGGCCCGTGCTCCTCCCAGAGATTTCCATAGCACTCTAGCCTAATAAACAGCTGCCCTGCACCCAGCGCTGCTCCTCTCACAGCACCTGGACATGTGCTTAGCTGCAGCACCTAGAGCCGCTAACCATGCGGCTTTGTTGTCTCAGTATTTTTTTAAATTACTGTTTCACTCAGAAATAACATTGAACTTTACAGCATGGATCTGCTTTCTAGTAATTTCTGAGCATCTTAGCTAGGGGTGCTCTGTAATATTCCATGACATGCTCTGTAGTGCTTGGGTACTATTTTATTGGAATAAGCACAAAAATTTAATATACAGATGACCCCCTTCCTCCACCACTTATATACTCCATTACAGTGAGTAACTGGAGAATGCCCATTTTCTCTTGTTTGTTCTCTAATTTCTTAGTTGTTTCAACTTAAAAAATTATATGATTTTAAACCTGGAAGGAACCTCTGGTCTAGTCCCAGAACACCCAACTGTGTGAGTTGCCAGAGGCAGAGCAGGGCGTGTGTGCACCGAGTGCCTCTGAGACCTCCACAAAGCCCTCATTTGCTAGTTTTGTTCAGCTAGAGCTGTTCTATTATTGTGTCATTCTGGTTTTTCTTTGGTGGTATGCATCTTTCTTTTCTCTTTAAAAATAATAGTGGAGCTAAAACCATGTTCGTTTGTAAAAATATTATGGAGTGGAAAAGAGAAAGCCACTTAAGTCCTACCATATAGCGTAACTTATTCTGTTGTTATCTCTGGGGTGTGCGGTTTGGTTTTCAGTTGGTTTTTCTATACATTTTTTAAAAATAATATAATCATAGCCTGCATTATTAAATCTTTGCCCTTTTTCTCCTCACTAAGCTGGTGAGATTTTTTTCATGTTGTTACTTTGCATTACCTTCTTTGATTGGTTGTGAAATTCCATGAATAATTATACCCTAATTTTCTCATTTGTTCCCCTAATAGTGGACATTAAAGTTATTTCCTACGTTGTATTGTACAGTCTCACATAGTTTAACAATGAGGGTATGTTTTGAGAAATGTTTTGTTGGTAAATATTATAGAATGGACATATACAAACTAAGATAACTGATATCAGTAGACCATATAATCTACTAGGATCACATCGTATATGTGGTCTCTTGACCAAATATCTTTATGTGGCATATATTTCTATAATGTTATGAATATTTTATATACAGAGATTTGCATATTTTTTCTTATTTTAAAGCAGTGTATGTATAAGTATTCTTTATTTGAAAATTATAAGACACGTGTTATTGTAGAAACTTTGAATTCTGTGTAAGAGTGTAGGATTAAAGAGTTAGTTTTTCCATTGTCCTTGCATTCCAGGTTATATTCATTCATAGGCTAAAATCCATAAATGGGATTACTAGATTTAGATAAATTGATTTTTATGATTTTCCAGGTTAAAAAATTGTTTTTAAATGCTTTCATAGCCCTCAATTTCTTTCCATTTTAACCATGTGGTTTGAAGTTCGCAAACTGTCCCTCAAGCTCACTCCTGCATAGACCTCCCTGCTTCCTGTCAGTGCCAGAAATAACGCTGAGCCCTCTGAGGTCATTGGTGGTCTTTTGGTCGGTGAACGAGTAGACTTCCCTGCTGAGCCTCTGCCAGTGCTGCATCTTGTTGTTTGCACCATCTTGAAAAGGTGGAGACCATATAGTCAGCAGTTTTGTACCCTCGGGGCCTGAAGCCAGTCCTGGCACCTAGAAATCTGGGAACCTCAAATATGTAGAATGAAGACTCCTCATGCCGCGGTGAGCCTGCACTCTGGGCTCCCTTTGGCCTGCCTGCACTCTGTCTCTAGCCCTTCCTCTTGCCTTTCTGCGGTCTTGTCTGGTCACTTTGCCGCCCTAAGCAGCATCGCAGAAAATGCCTGAACTAGCAGAAGTTTCTTCATCTGTAGCTGAGCAGTTGAGACATAGCAGTGACCTTCCTTTAGGAAGAATTTGTGTTTAGAAGTCTTCAGTCAGGGGCTGGGGCGGTGGCTTACTGGTAGGGTGCTCACCTAACACGTTTGAGGTACTGGGTTCAATCTTCAGCACCACGTAAAGATAAATAAATTAGGTATTGTGTCCATCCAAAACTAAAAAATACTTTTTAAAAATAAAGTCTTTCAATAGTACAGAATAAGCCACCTGACTTTCTATCAAAACCCCATCTGTCTGCATTTCCTGTGTGATGTGATGGCCCCCTGAAATGCTAATGAGGTTTCATGTGTGTTTTTTGTGTATTTTAGAAGAAGAGATGTTATCTAGAAAGTTGGTTGATAACAAAGAGATTGGGAAATATATCTTTGCTCCTTTTTTAAAAAATTATATTTTGGTTTTGGGTAGTGACAACACTTAGAATAAATGTTTTAAAAATTATGTGTTGGGACTGGAGGTATAGCTCAGTGGTAGAGCATTTGCCTGGCATAT